TGAATAAATGGTGCTGGGAGAACTGGATAGTCATGCCAAAAATTAAAACTGGACTCCTTCCTTACACCTTATACAAAAATTAACTCAAAGTGGATTAAAGACTTAAACGTAAAACCCAAAACTCTAAACACCTTAGAAGAAAATACATTCAGGACACAGGCACGGGAAAGTATTTCATGATGAAAATGCCTAAAGCAATTGCAACAAAAGCAAAACTTTATAAATAAGATCTAATTACACTAAAGAGCGTCTGCACAGCAAAAGAAACTATCAACAGAGCAAACAGATAACCTACAGACTAGGAGAAAATTTTTGCAATCTACCCATCTGACAAAGATCTAATATCCATAGGCTACAGGAACTTTAACAAATTTACAAGAATAAAACAAAACCCCAATAAAAAGTGGGCAGAGGACATGAACAGACACTTCTCAAAAGAAGGTATTCATGAGGTATTCATGTAGCCAATAAACAAATGAAAAAAGCTCAACATCACCGATTATTAGAGAAATGTAAATCAAAACCACAACCAGATACCTTCTCATGCCAGTCAGAATGGTGATTATTAAAAAGTCAAGAAATAAGAAATGCTGGCAAGGATGAAGAGAAACAGGACTGCTTTTACACCGTTGGTGGGAATGTAAATTAATTCAACCATTGTGGAAGACAGTGTGGCAATTCCTCAAAGATCTAGAACCAGAAATACCATTTGACCCAGCAAACCCATTATTGGGTATGTCCCCAAAGGAATATAACTCCTTCTATTGTAAAGATACATGCATGCATATGTTCACTGCAAAACTAGTCACAATAACAAAAACATGGAATAAACCCAAATGACCATCGATAATAGACTGGATAAAGAAAATGTGGTACATATAAACCATGGAATACTATGCAGCTATAAAAAGGAATGAGATCATATCCTTTGCAAGAAAATGGATGGAGCTGGAAGCCGTTATCCCTAGCAAACTAATGCAGGAACAGAAAACCAAACACCACATGTTCTCACTTATAAGTGGGAGCTGAACGATGAGAACACATGGACACATGGGAGGAACAACACACACTGGGGCCTGTCGGCAGGAGCAGGGGCAGGGAGAGCATCCAGAAGAATAGCTAATGGATGCTGGGCTTAATACCTAGGTGATGGTTGATCTGCGCAGCAAACCACCATGGCACACGTTTACCTATGTAACAAACCTGCACATCCTGCACATGTACCCTAGAACTTAAAATAAAAGTTGAATAAAATAAAAAGAAGAAACAGATTTATCAGGCTGGACATGGTGACTCACACCTGTAATCCCAGCACCGTGGGAAGCCAAGGTAAGAGAATCATTTGAGCCCAGGAGTTCCACACCACCCTGGCCAACATGGCGAAACCCTGTCTCTACTAAAACTAAAAAAAAAAAAAAAAAAAGTTGTTGGGCATGGTGGTGCGTGCCTGTAGTCCCAGCTACTGGGGAGGCTGAGGCCAGAGGATCACTTGAACTTGGGAGGCGGATGTTGCAGGAAACTGAGATCGTGCCACTGCATTTCAGCCTGGGCGACAGAGGGGGACTTTGTCTCAAAATAAATAAATAAAAATTAGTGACAAGGGATCTGGCAAGATGGCCGAACAGGAAGAGCTCCAGTCTGCAGCTCCCAGGGAGATCAATCCAGAAGGCAGGTGATTTCTGCATTTCCAACTGAGGTACTCTGTTCATCCCACTGGGACTGGTTAGGTAGTGGGTGCGGCCCACGGAGGGCAAGCAGAAAGAGAGTGGGGCATCACCTGACCCAGGAAGTACAAGGAGCTGGAGGGCCTCCCTTTCCCAGGCAAGGGAAGCCGTGAGCTTGGAACCACAGCATGACAGACCCCTTCACTCCACTAGAAAGGGGGCTGAAGCCAGGGAACCAGTGGTCTCGCTCAGCGGATCCCACTCCCATGGAGCCCAGCAAGGTAAGAACCACTGGCTTGAAATTCTCACTGCCAGCACAGCAGGCTGAAGTCGACCTGGGAGGCTCGAACTTGGTGGGACGAGGGGCATCTGCCATTACTAAGGCTTGAGTAGGCAGTTTTCCCCTGACAGTGTTAAGGAGGCCAGGAAGTTCGGACTGAGCAGAACTCACCACAGCTTGGCAAAGTGGGTGTGGCCAGACTGCCTCTCTAGATTCCTACTCACTGGGCACGGCATCTCTGAAAGAAAAGCAGCAGCCCCATTTAGGGGCTTATAGTAAAACTCCCATCTACCTGGGACAGAGCACCTGTGGGAAGGGGCAGCTGTGGGCACAGCTGCAGCAGACTTAAATGTTACTGCCTGCCGGCTCTGAAGGGAGTAGCAGATTCTGACAAGGAGGTTTCTCCCAGCACAGCACTAGAGCTCTGCTAAGGGACAGACTGCCTCCTTAAGTGGGTCCTTGACTCCCATGCCTCCTGACTGGGAGAGACCTCCCAGCAGGGGTCAACAGATATCTCATACAGGACAGCTGTGACTGGCATCAGGGCGGTACCGCCTGGGAAAAAGCTTCCAGAGCACAGAGCAAGAAGCAATCTTTGCTGTTCTGCAGCCTCCACTGGTGATACCCAGGAAAACGGTCTGGAGAGGACTTCCAGCAAACTGCAGCAGACCTGCAGAAGATGGGCCTGACTGTTAGAAGAAAAACTAAAAAACAGAAAGCAGTAACATCAACAAAAGGACCCCCACACAAAAACCTCATCGAAAGGTCATCAGCCTAAAAGATCAAAGGTAGATACATTCACAAAGATGAGGAAAAGCCAGCGCAAAAATCCTGAAAATTCCAAAAACCAGAATGCCTCTTCTCCTCCAAATGATTGCAACTCCTCTCCAGCAAGGGCACAGAACTGGACGGAGAATGAGTTTGACAAATTGACAGAAGTAGGCTTCAGAAGATGGGTAACAACAAACTCCTCTGAGCTACAGGAGCATGTTGTAACCCAATGCAAGGAAGCTAAGAACCTTGATAAAAGGCTACAGGAACTGATAACTAGAATAACCAGTTTAGAGAAGAACATAAATAACCTGATAGAGCTTAGAAACACAGGACGAGAATTTCGTGAAGCATACACAAGTATCAACAGCTGAAATGATCAAGCAGAGGAAAGGATATCAGAGACTGAAGACCAACTTACTAAAATAAGGCATGAAGACAAGATTACAGAAGGAAAAATGAGAAGAGGTGAACAAAGCCTCCAAGAGATATAGGACTATGTGAAAAGACCAAACCTACAATTGATTGGGGTCCCTGAAAGTGACGAGGAGAACGGAATCAAGCTGGAAAACACACTTAGGATACATTATTCAGGAGAACTTCCCCAACCTAGCAAGACAGGCCAACATTCAAATTCAGGAAATACAGAGAACACTACTCTGTTACTCCTTGGGAAGAGCAACTTCAAGACAAATAATAATCAGATTCCCCAAGGCTGAAACAATGGAAAAAAATTTAAGGGCAGCCCGAGAGAAAGGTAAGGTTACCTACAAAGGGAAGCACATCAGACAAACAGCGGATCTCTCTACAGAAACCCTACAAGCCAGAAGAGAGTGGGGGCCAATATTCAACATTCATAAAGAAAAAACTTTTCAACCCAGAATTTCATATCCAGCCAAACTAAGCGTCATAAGGGAAGGAGAAATAAAATCCTTTACAGAACATCAAATGCTGAGGGATTTTATCACTGTCAGGCCTGACTTATGAGGGCTCCTGAAGGAAGCACTAAACGTGAAAAGGAAAAACCAGTACATAACCTGAACAGACCAATAACAAGCAACATATCAAAGCCATAATAAAAGTCTTCCAGTAAAGAAATTCCCAGACCTGATGGCTTCACTACTGAATTCTACCCAACATTTAAAGTGGGACTAATATCAATCCTACTCAAACTATTTTGAAAAATAGAGGAGGAGGGAATAGTTCCAAACTCATTCTATCAGGCCAGTATTACCATGATACCAAAACCAGACAAAGACACATCAAAAAAAGAAAACTACAGGGCAAAACCACTGGTGAATACTGATGCAGAAATCCTCAACAGAATACTAGCAAATCAAATTCAGCAATACATTAGAAAGAATAATCATCATGACCAAATGGCATTTATCCCTAGGATGGAAGGATGGTTCGACATATGCAAATTAATATATGTGATAATGCATATCAATGGAATAATGGATACAAATCATACAATCATTTCAATTGATGCTGAAAAGCATTTAATAAAACTCAGTACGTCATCATAATACAAAGCCTCAAAACACCAGGGAAAGAAGGAACATACTTCAATGTAATAAAAGCCATATACCACAGACCCACAGCTAGTATTGAAGTGGCCTCGTTGTCTAGGGTAAACACCCAGAGTTCTTGGTCTCACAGCCAAGGAAATCAAGGACATGGGCACACCAAGAGTGAGGTTTAGAGCAAAAAGTTAATACAAGAAACAAAGAGAACAGTTTTGTACTACAGAGAGGGGTCCCAGAAAAAAACAGTTGCCATCCTGCAGTGTAATGCAGGGGTTTTTATAGATGAGCTACTGGGGAGGCAGTATCTGATCACCTACATAATGTAAACATAACCCGTTAGGACCAGGTGTACCATCTGCATAGGGTGTGAATCTCTGGCAGCCCCCACCCTAATCTTTTATTATGCAGGCGGGTCCTCAGCCTGAGCTACAACATGTTGCTCATTTTGTACTTACTGTGTATGTGCTAAAAAAGGGGAGGTGGAAAGCCCATGGTGGACATGCCTGGCCCCACGTGGCCTTTTCTATCAGTGCAGCTGTTGGCATCCCCCATGAAAGCTTCTAGCTTCCTATCTATCTATGATAGAATATCAGTGTACCAACATTTTATCTCAATGTACCATCTCAAACACAGGATTTAAACTTTCAAAAAAGATTCAATTCTCAGGACTATTAAAGATCCAGAAATAAATTTAACAAAAATGTGCAAGGATTCTTTGCAGAAAACTGTAAAACTTTATTAAGAGAATGCTATCAGTCACATTTCCAGCATAACAATAATATTCTTGGTTTCAGTCTTCATTTCTCTTGGTGTAAACCTATCGTTGCGCATCACCTAAAACATAAATATAAAATTAGGACCCGTTACTCAGCAGATTTTTATTCATATGACACTAGAGGCATACAACTACCATGTTGATGAACTAATATCAGAACCCTGAGGGTGACCCTTTAGCCTACATCCAGTTAGCCTCTGAATAAACTCTGAAGGTAGACTTCCAGGCATATTAACAATATTTTTAATTCATGCCACTTTTTCTAGTAGAATAAAGAAACAAAGAGACTGTTCAACTTCAGAATGAATTCAATCAAGTGAATCTATTTGTATGTATAAGTGGAAAGCAAAAAAAAAAAAAAAAAAAAAGCATATACTTTCAATGAAAATTCAACGAAACAAAATCCTAAGGGAAAAAGATATTTTTAAAGTATCATTTAAACATTTTGATATGAAATAACACTCTGAATACAGAATATGTTTAGAACTCCCTAAGTGAAGGAAATAGAAAAATCAGTATTATATTTGTTTTGTGTCTCTTGTGAAAAAGTGTAAAAACGTTACTTTGGACTAGTTTAGCCATTATGCAGTTGCTTTAAGTAGGGCGAACATTTGTCCCTATATTCACCGGTCCTCCTGCCTCTTTACATGCCTAAAAGCAGTTCACTTTATACAGTAAACTGAATACGCACACTAGCTGTAAGACATTACCATCACAGTAAACATCACAATATAAACTGATGTTTATTATAAACATGTTACGTATTTGTTAAAAACAAGCCTCTACAAACATATCTGAAAATTATTGGCTCTTGGTTAAATGACTTACATTCAAAAGTCAGAACACGTTTTCCTATCTTTTTCTAAACATGACACATAAAATCGTATGTATTTATCACGTATAACAGGAAGCTTTAAAATATATATACACACTGTGAAATGGCTACATCAAGCTAATTAATATCTGCATTACTCCACATAGCTGTGAAGACACTCGATAGCTACTCTCTTAGCATGTTTCATATCTTTCATATCATAATCCAATTAACTTTGACCCAATTTTTCTCCATCTCTTGAAGTCCTGGCCTCAAGTGATCCTTCTGACTCGGCCTCCCAAAGTGCTGGAAATAAAAGCATGAGCCAGCATACCTGGCCCTCTATCTCTAACAGTGTGTAAGGCAGCCACTGGCGTCTGAAATACCTTCAAAGAATCTTTAGACGTGAAGTATAATACTAACGTAGCAGTAATTTTACCTCTGTGTCACACAAAATATAATATTGTGAAAACAGACACCCTATAGTTTGCATCTTAATTGAACAACATACCTGCTTCCAGCACTTTAGTGGGATCAAAAGTGGGCAGAGTCCCCTCCCTGACATCAGGACCATCTCCAGGCTCATCCTCTATCTTAAGCAGAGCCAGTTCCTGTTGAAAAGCTTCCACATCAGGCCCTTAAAAGACAAAAAGGTCATCAGTTTACAAATTAAAACATGAACTATGCAAGAGAAAATGATAATGTGTAGTCCCTCATCATTATGAAATAAAAACCTGTAGGCTAATTATTTCAGGAGTCTGTTGCCAGGAAAACAGGAAAGCAGTGATGTCCAAACATTGCCCTTTCCTTTCCCAAGGCTGGCTCTAGACAATTTACTTGTCCCTTTTGTACTCATTTGTTCTTATTCTTATCACATTAAATCAGTGATTTGTTTGAGTCAGTCTGACTAGACTATGAGCTTTAGGCAAAAAATTGGCACTGACATCTCCAGCACTGAGTATATTACATGGTATGAGGAAGCATTAATAAATGTGTATTAAAAAGTTTCTTTAAAAATACATGAAATGTCCGCAGATGGCAGATTAGGAAGCTGCAAGCTGCCATTCTTCCACAGAAACATAAAAACAAAACAAAACAAAACAAAAAAACAGAAAATGGCCGAGCAAACCATACAGGAGCTCTGGAAAACACTCAAAGGTGTACGACAACCATGCAAATACCCTATCAATAAAACGCCTCTGTCAAAATGGTAGGAAAGTTTTGTGGCTTTTTATGTGTCCTTGTCCCACCCCTCCCCACAGTAGCAGCAGGAAATGTTTAAGATCCCTTCCTAATATTTTCTGTCTTCTTGTTACTGGTATGTCATAAAATATAATGCATAAATATACCTCCAGCACCCATAAGTATTATTCTACACTCTCCCTTCACCTTGAACAGCAGGTGCTCCTTCATTTTCGATCTCCCCACTAGGTGCAATACCCTGATTTTCAGTTGGTGCTTCTTCTTCTTGACGTTTTTCCTCAGCGAGCTGCTGGACCTAAGGGTGTAAGTGTGTGTGCGAATAAAAACTCAATAATATAAATACACAAATGCGTATGTGCATCGAATCATAAATCTAAAGATATTCTTCCAACAGACGTATATACGTATATATATACGTATATCTATATATATGTATATATAGAGAGAAATATCCAAATCCATACAGTTAACACCAGAATATGATATTCCTGAACCAAAGTTTCCTTCATGAGATGCCATCATCATTTTTTATCAGCATGGAACACCTGGATCAGTGCATGTACACTAGCTCAAAAACATTTTTTAAAATAAACTACGTAAATAGAAAACATCAAATGTTAAAGAACTCACAATCACAGATCCAACTGGTTGGGAAGACTCTTTGTCATTTCCTCTTTCTGAGGATTCGGATCTTGTTCTTACAAGCTCACTCATATTTCCCACTGAAAATAGAATATTGTTATTTGGAAAAAGTGTGTAAGAACGTAGCTACATATATGAAAATTCCATGGCAAAATGGTGATTTGTACTTTTTAAATATTGAAAATATTTTCAAAATAATTCATAGAGCAATGATAAGTACTCATGCTTTCCAATCATGGAAAGGACAGATTTGTTTGTATCATAGCTCAGAGGCATAGAAATCACCTTAACGCCATAGCAAAAGACAGAGGACGTTTCTGAGTTTTGGTTTAACAACTATACTCTCCACCATGAAGGCATTTAGGAAAAAACGGGCAGAGAATTGAACCTGAAATGACTACTGCTTTCGTCCCACTCTGATTTGCTAGGCGCATTTCACCGCCACACTCCTCCCAAAATTGAGTCTTGCAGGAAAACACAAGCCTCACCCATTCCGTCCCATGACGTTCATGGCGGAGGTGAGAAATTGTGAAACAGAGTGAACGTTATGCTCCTCACGGGACACCTCTGCCAGGCACTCTACAGACCTCAGGGCCGCAGTCACCAGCCCACAGCGTTCCCAGTTCCCAAGCCCCTTCCTTACCGAACACGCTGTCCCTTTCCGCGACCCTACCTAGGAGTCTAGAAACTGTCCTGTCTCAGAGGGTTCCAGGAGTTTCCGGGACTCAGACACCTCTAACAGCACCCGCAGCACTCGTCCCATCTTCATGAGATCCCTCCCCTCTGTGGCCCACCTTCCTCCCTCGTTCCAGCCCAGCCACAATAACGAGTCCCATGGTGGCATTGCGACCTGGGTGGAGCCGGACGAGGCCCTTTTCCCTCAGAAGCCACGGACTGTGCTGCAGGACCTGTCCAAAGCCAGCTGGCTCCTCCACACATTCACTCACAACTAAATTCCCAGGAAGACTGCTCTGCGAACCTACCAGCTGCGTCTCAGTCAGTGAGAAAAAATCAAAATGGTGGAAAGAATGAAGACACAACCTCTCCCTGCAGACCTCTGCGCGGACAGAAGGTGGGCAGCAAGGCGCATGCGCAACAGACACGCGCAGCAACAGACATGCGCAGCAACAGACATGCGCAGCAACAGGTCTGTGCAGCATGTGCACGGAGTGGGGCATTTGCCTCGAGACTGAAGTTTTCCTGCCTCTGTGGAGAACCTAAACCACCAGCGCTCCTGAAATCGAAAATGAACTTGGAAAGCACTTTTCTTTTTCTCCCGCCCAACCTTTCTTTCCCTTCAGTGGCTTTGGAGAATATGAGCCCCAGCTTACTCTAATAATGTGTTTCAGAAAAATTCACCATCACAGAAATAAATCTTAAATATTTTAATCCCTGTTTTATATACGCTTCCAGAAATCATCTTCTTGCCTCCTTCACGAGTTTGCTGTCATGCTTGCAGTGGTCTTACCCACTCCAATACGATAAGACATTCATAGTTCTTGGTTGCATTATTGTACGTTCAAAATCATTGATCCAGCTGGACAACATTAAAGTGGTAGGCACTCAATCTTAGTTGTTGAATCCCTGTTTCACCCACTGTTTTGAAATGGCTCTTTTATCATCGCCTACATCCCCACTCAATTTTGTATGTAACTCTCTTCTTTTACTTTTCTTCCATTGAGTTGTTTATACCTGTATCATTACTGCACTATTTTAATTACTGTAGCTTAATGATATTTGAAATGTGAAGTAATGCTTGCCCTCCCTCACTGATTTCTCCTTTTCTATCAATTCTGACACGTTGGTCTTTCAGATGAACTGCAGAATCATTTGATCAGGTGCTAAAATATTCCTGTTGAGACACTAGTTACTACTTTCATATCACATGTTAACTCTGGGACAATAGCCATCTTTCTATTTTAGAATCTCTCAATCAAAAAAAAGAAAAAAAAAAAGCCACTCCTCAATTCCTCAAGTCTTTTAACGTATCCCACACAATGACTGTGTTATTTTCTTCATATTAGTTCTTCACATTCAAATTAAATTTATTCATGGGCATTTTTATTTTTCCATTCCATTGCTGCCACGTGTTTGCTTTTACTCCACTGTGTTTTTCACACAAGTCAAACAATCTCTGTTTGCAAACAATATGATTCCATAATTAGAAAATCCCAGACTCTCTGCCCAAAATCTGCTTGATCTTATAAACAACTTCAGGAAAGCTTCAAGATACAAAATTAATGTACAAAAACAGGAGCGTTTCTCTACACCAACTACCTTGAAGCTCAGAGCCAAATCAGAAACACAATCCCATTCACAATTGCCACAAAAAGAATAAAATACCTAGGAATACAGCTAACCAGGGAGGAGAACCATCTCTACTATGAGAACTACAAAACACTGCTCAAAGAAATCAGAGATGACACAAACAAATGGAAAAACATTCCATGCTCGTGAACAGGAAGAATATTGTCAAAATGGCCAATCTGACCACAGCAATTCATACATTCAGTGATATTCCTATTAAACTACCAATGACATGCCTCACGGAATTAGAAAAAAAACAAACTACTTTAAAATTCATATGGAGCCAAAAAGGAGCCCAAATAGCCAAGGCAATCCTAAAGAAAAAGAATGAAGCCAAAGCATCATATCACCTGACTTCAGAGTATAATACAAGGCCACGGTAAACGAAACAGCATGGTACTGGTATCAAAACAGTCACAAAGACCAATGAAATAGAATACACAGCCCAGAAATAATGCTGCACACCTCACACCTATTACCATCTGACCTTCAACAAAGTTGACAAAAACAAGCAATGTAGACAGGACTCTCTACCAATAAATGGTGATGCATGTAAAAGATTGAAACAGGACCACCTCTTATTAAGAAAAATTAACTAAAGGTGGATTCAGAAACTAAATGTAAAACCCAAATTCATAAAAATCCTGGAAGACCCAGGCATTCTCATCCTGGACGTAGGAAAGAGCAAAGATTTCATAATGAAGATGCCAAAAGCAATTGCAACAAAAGCAAACATTGCCAAATGGAATGTAATGAAACTAAAGAGCTCCTGCACAGCAAAAAAAACAAAACAGAACAGAACAAAAAACAACTATCCACAGAGACAACACACAACACAGAGAATGGGAGAAACTATTTACAAACTATGCATTTATCTAAGGTCTCGTATCCACAATCTATAAAGAACTTAAAGAAATTTACAAAAAACAAAAACAAAAACAAAAAATAAAAAGACACGCCACGTGCAGTGCCTCACACTTCTAATCCCAGCACTTTCGAAGGCCAAGATGGGCAGATCACTGGAAGCTAGGATTTCGAGACCAGCCTGGCAAACATGAAAAACCCTGGCTCTACCATAAAATACAAACATTAGCTGGGAGAGGTGGTGCACGCCTGTAATCCCAGATAATAGCGTGGCTGAGGCAGCAGAATAGCTTGAACCCAGGAAGTGGAGGTTGCAGTGAGTGGAGATCGTGCTACTGCTCTCCAGCCTGGGCAACAGACCGAGACTGCGTCTCAATAAACAAAACAAAACAACCCATACCAGTAAAAAGTGGGCCAAGGACATGAACAGACACATTCAAAGGAAGACATGCATGAGGCCACAGCATATGAAATAAAGCTCAAAGTCACTGACCATTGGAGAAATACAATTCAAACCACAATGAGATATCATCTCACACCAGGCAGAATGGCTATTATTAAAAAGTAAAAAAATAAAATAACAGATGCTGGTGACATTGTAGAGAAAAAGAAACACTTATTCACTGTTGGTGGAAGTGTAAATTAGTTCAACCATCGTGGGAAACAGTGTGCTGATTTCCCAGAGACCTAGGATATTATCCAGGAGAACTTCCCCAATCTAGCAAGACAGGACAACATTCAAATTCACGAAATACAGAGAACACTACTCTGTTACTCCTTGGGAAGGGCAACCTGAAGACAACAATCATCAGATTCTTCAAGGTTGAAACAAAAGGAAAAATGTTAAGGGCAGCCACAGAGAAAGGTCAGGTTACCTACGAAGGAGAGCCCATCAGACTAACAGCGGATCTCTCTACAGAAACCCTACAAGCCAGAAGAGAGTGGGGGCCGATATTCAACATTCATAAAGAAAAGAATTTCAACCCGGAATTTCATGCCCAGCAAAACTAAGCTTCATAAGGGAAGGAGAAACAAAATCCTTTCCAGGACAGCAAATGCTGAGGGAGTTTGTCACCGTCAGGCCTGCCTTACAAGAGCTCCTGAAGGAAGTACTAAATATGAAAAGGAAAAACCAGTACCAGCCACTGAAAAACAAACAAAAATATAAAGACAATGACACTATGAAGACACTGCATCAACTAATGTGCAAAATAACCAGCTAGCATCATGATGACAGGCTCAAATTCACACATAACAATATTAACCTTTAATGTAAATGGTCTAAATGCCCCAATTAAAACACAGAGACTGGCACATTGGATAAAATGTCAAGACCCAACGGTGTGATACATACAGAAGACCCATCTCACGTGCAAAGGACACACAGGCTCAAAATAAAGGGGTAGAGGAATACTGACGAAGAAAATGGAAAGCAATAAAAAAAAGCAGGGGTTGCAATCCCAGTCTCTGATAAAACAGACTTTAAACCAACAAAATACAAAATTAGCTTGGCATGGTGGTGCACGCCTGTAATCCCAGGTACTAGTGTGGCTGAGGCAGGAGAATCACTTCAAACAGGGTGGTAGAGGTTGCAGTGAGCGGAGACCATGCAACTGCACTCCAGCCTGGGCAACAGACTGAGACTCTATCTCAGAAAACAAAACAAAACAAAAAATAATACCATTGAAAAGTGGTCCAAGGACAGGAACAAACACTTTCAAAAGAAGACATCCATGTGGCCTACAAGCATATGAAATAAAGCTCAAAACCACTGATCATTAGAGAAGTTCAATTCAAACCACAATGACATATCATCTCCCACCAATCAGAATGGCTATTAAAAAGTAAAAAATAAAATAAAATTTAAAAAATAACAGGTGCTGGTGATGTTGTGGAGAAAAAGAAACACTTAATCACTGTTGGTGGAAGTGTACATTAGTTCAACCATTGTGGGAAACAGTGTGCTCATTCCCCAGAGACCTAAAAACAGAACTACCATTCGATCCAAGCAATCCCATTACTGGGTATACAGTCAAAGGGATATAAACTTGTTCTGTTATAAAGACACATGCTCACATATGTTCACTGCAGCACTATTCACAATACCAAAGACATGGAATCAACCAAAAAGCCCATCAATGGTAGACTGGATAAAGAAAATGTAGTACATATATACCACGGAATAGTATGCAGCCATAAAAACGAATGACACTATCTCCGTTGCTGGAATAAGGATGGAGGTGGAGGTCCTTATACTTAGCAAAGTAAAGCACGACAGAAAACTAAATACTGCATGTTCTCACTTATAAGTGGGAGCTAAAAATGAGAAAAAATCAACACACAGAGGAAAACAACAGACACTGGGGCCTACCAAAGACTGGAGGATGGGAGGAGGGAGAGGATCAGGAAAAATAGCTCATGAGTACCAGGCTTAATACCTGGGTGACAAAGTAATCTGTACAACAAACCCCCATGACACATGACACAAACCCCCATGACAAAACAAACCCTGCATAAGAAACCTGCACCATATGTATGCCTGAACTTAAAAGATACAAAAAGAATAAGAAAAAATAGATTTCAAAACAAAAACTTTGAGAAGACACTAAAAGGTCACTATATAATAATAAAGGGGTCAATTCATGAAGAGGACATTAACAATTTTAAATATATATGCACGCAACACTTGAGCACCCAGATATATAAAACAAATGCAATTAGAGCTGAAGAGAGAGACAGGCCCCAATAAAATAATAGATGGAGACTTCAGCACCCCACATTCAGTACTGGAGAGATCTGCCAAACAGAAACTCAACAACAACAACAACAAAAACAAACAAAGAAAAAACCCACAGAGTTAATCTGCACTACAGGCACATGGATCTAATAGATATTTACAGAACATTTCATCCAACAACTACAGAATACACATTCTTTTCCCCAGCACATGGATCATTCTCAAGGACAAGACCATATGTTAGGTCTCAAAACACTAAAAAAAAAAAACCTGAAATAATATCGTGGATCTTGTCAGACCACAGTGGCATAAAACTAGACATTAATAACAAGAGGAATTTTGGAAACTATACAAATACATGAAAACTGAATAATCTGATCCCGAATGAATAATGGGTCAATGAAGAAGCTAAGAAGGAAATTTAATTATTTGTTGAAACAAATGACGATGGAAAAAAATATACCAAAACCAATGGGATACAGCAAAAGCAGTACTCAGAAAGAGGTTTTTAGCTATAAGTGCCTACAACAAAAGAGGTAAAAACTTCAAATAAACAATTTAACGATGCATCTTAAACCAAACCAAAAATTAGAAGAAAAGAAATAATGAAGATCCCAGCAGAAATAAACAAAATTGAAATGAAAAAAAAACCTATTTTTTTAATAGGTTAACCAAAATTGACATACCATTAGCCGAGCTAAGGAAAAAAGAGAGAAACCCAAATAAATAAAATCCAAAATGAAAAAGGATTTGGGAGCCTGAGGCGGCAGGTGGATCACTTGAGGCTGGGACCTCAAGACCAACCTGGCCAATATGGCAAACTCCATCACTACTAAAAATAAAAAAATTAAACAGGTATGGTGGTAGGCGCCTGTAATCCCAACTACTCGGGTGGCTGAGGCAAGAGAATTGCTTGAACCCTGGAGGTGGAGGTTCTAGTGAGCTGAGACCCTGCCATTAAACTCCAGCATGAGGACAAAAGGAGACTCTGTCTCGAGAAAAGAAAAAAAAGAAATAAAAGAAAAAAGAAAACAGAAAAGAAAAAAGAAAAAAAAGAAAGAGAAATGAAAAACAAGATATTACAAAACTAATGCTGCAAAAATTCAAAGGATCATAACTGGCTCCTATGAGAAACTCCATGCCTCTAAATTGGAAAATCTAGAAAAAAATGGACTAATTCCTAGATACATACAACCTCCCAAGACTGAACCAGGAAGAAATCCATAACCTGAACAGACCAATAACAAGCAACAAGATCAAAGCCATAATAAAAGTCTTCCAGTAAAGAAACGCCTGGACCTGATGGCTTCACTACTGAATTCTACCCAATGCTTAAAGAAGGACTAATACCAATCCAACTCAAATTATTTTGAAAGATAGAGGAGCAGGGAAGAGTTCCAAACTCATTCTATCAGGCCAGTATTACCCTGATACCAAAACCAGACGAAGACACATGAAAAAAAGAAAACTACAGGGCAAAACTGCTGATGAATATTGATGCAGAAATCCTCAACACAATACTAACAAACCAAATTCAACAATACGTTAGAAAGAATCATCATCACGACCAAGTGAGAGTTATCCCTGGGATGGAAGGATGGTTTAACATATGCAAATTAATGTATGTGATAAATCATATCAATGGAATGATAGATAAAAACCATATAATCATTTCAATTGACGCTGAAAAGCATTTAATAAATCTCAGTGTGTCATCATGATACAAACCCTCAAAACACCAGGGAAAGGAACATACTTCAATGTAATAAAAGTCATATATCACAGACCCACAGCTAGTATTTAAGTGCCTCATCTGGGGTAACACACAGAGTTCTTGGACTCACAGCCAAGGAAATCAAGGACATGGGCACACCAAGAGTAAGGTGTAGAGCAGAAAGTTAATAGGAGAAACAAAGAGAACAGCTTTCTACTGCAGAGAGGGGTCCCAGAAAAAAACAGTTGCCATCCTGCAATGAAATGCAGGGGTTTTTATAGATGAGCTAGTGGGGAGGCAGTATCTGATCACCCACACAGGGTACAAACAACCGGTTAGGACCAGGTGTACCATCTGCATAGGGTGTGAATCTCTGGCAGCCCCCACCCTAATCTTTTATTATGCAGGCGGGTCCTCAGCCTGAGCTACAACATGTTGCTCATTTCGTTCTTACTATGTATGTGCTACAAAAGGGGAGATGTAAAGCCCATGGTGGATATGCCTGGCCCCACGTGGCCTTATCTATCTGTGCAGCTGTTGGCATCCCACTATGAAAGCTTCCAGCTTCCTATCTGTCTATGATAGAAAATCAATGTACCAACATTTTATCTCCATGTACCATCTCAAACACAGGATTTAAACTTCCAGAAAAGATATAATTCTCAAGACTATTAAAGATCAAAAAACAAATTTAACAAAAATGTGCAAGGATTCTTTGCAGAAAACTATAAAACTTTATTAAGAGAATGCTATCAGTCAAATTTCCAGCATAACAATAACATTCTTGGTTTCAGTCTTCATTTCTCTTGGTGTAAACCTATCGTTGCACATCACCTAGAACATAAATATACAATTAGGACCCATTACTCAGCAGATTTTAATTCATATGACACTAGAGGTATACAACTACCATCTTGATGAACTAATATCAGAACACTGAGGATGACCATTTAGCCTATATCCAGTTAGCCTCTGAATAAACTCTGAAAGTAGACTTCCAGGCCTATTAACAATATTTTTAATTCATGCCACTTTTTCTATAATAAGGAAACAGAGACTGTTCAACTTCAGAATGAATTCAATCAAGTGAATCTATTTGTATGTATAAGTGGAAAGCAAAAAACAAACAAAAAGAACGCATATACTTTCAATGAAAATTCAATGAAACCAAACCCCAAGGGAAAAAGATATTTTTAAAGTATCATTTAAATATTTGGATATAAAATAACACTTGAACACAGAATATGCTTAGAACTCCCTAAGTGAAGGAAATAGAAAAGTCAGTATTACATTTGTTTTGTGTCCCTTGTGAAAAAGTGTAAAAACATTACTTTGGACTAGTTTAGTCATTATGCAGTTGCTTTAAGTAGGGCGAACATTTGTCACTATTTTCACCGGAATTCCTGCCTCTTTACATGCCTAAAAGCAGTTCAGTTTACTCAGTTTATACAGTAAACTGAATACCCACGCTAGCTGTAAGCCATTACCATCACAATTAACACAACAAAATACTGATGCTTATTATAAACATGTTACGTATTTGTTAAAAACAGGCCTCTGTAAAAGTATCAGAAAATTATTGGCTGTTGCTTAAATGACTTACATTCAAAAGTCACGTTTTCATATCTTTTTTTTTTAAATGACACATAAAAACATATATATTTATCATGTATAACATGATGCTTTAAAATATATGTACACACTATGAAATGGCTACATCAAGCTAATTAATATCTGCATTACTTGAAACAGCTGTGAAGACACTCAATATCTATTCTCTTAGCATGTTTCTTATCTTTCATATCATAATCCAATTAACTTTGACCCAATTTTTCTCCATCTTTTGAAGTCCTGGCCTCAAGTGATCCTTCTGCCTCGGCCTCCCAAAGTGCTGGAATTAAAAGCATGAGCCAGCACACCTGACCCTCTATCTATCATAGTATGTGAGGCAGCCATTTGGGGTCTGAACTACCTTCAAAGAATCTTTGGACATGAAGTAAGATATTAAAGTAGCACTAATTTTACCTCTGTGTCACACAAAATATAATATTGTGAAAACAGACACCCTATAGTTTGCATCTTAATTGAACAACATACCTGCTTCCAGCACTTTAGTGGGATCAAAAGTGGGCAGAGTCCCCTCCCTGACATCAGGACCATCTCCAGGCTCATCCTCTATCTTAAGCAGAGCCAGTTCCTGTTGAAAAGCTTCCATGTCAGGCCCTTAAAACATAAAAAGGTCATCCGTTTACAAATTAAAACATGAACTATGAACGAGGAAATGATAATGTTTATTCCCTCATCATTATGAAATAAAAACCTGTAGGCTAATTATTTCAGGAGTCTGTTGCCAGGAAAACAGGAAAGCAGAGATGTTCAAACATCACCCTTTCCTTTCCCAAGGCTGGCCCTAGACAACTTACTTGCCCCTTTTGTACTCATTTGTTCTTATTCTTATCACATTAAATCAGTGATTTGTTTGAGTCAGTCTGACTAGACTATGAGCTTTAGGCTACAGTTTGGCACTGACGTTTCCAGCACTTAGTAACATGGCATGAGGAAGCATTAATAAATGTGTATTAAAAAGTTTCTTAAAAA